TTCGGGCAACTCGGGTTTTCGGGCCGAATTCGGGTAAAAATTCAAAAACCTAGCCGTTTTCGGGTATTCGGGTAATTCGGGCACCTCGGGCGGGTCGGGCAAGTCGGGCAGGCGGGAAAAATTCGGGCAAAATTCAAAAATTCGGGCTTCGGGTCGGGCAATTCGGGCACACCCAATTTTCGGGCAATTTTCGGGTCGGGCAGTTCGGGCTTGGTCGGAAAAATGCAAAAAAATCCCGGCGGACGGCGGTATACGGTGGTTAGACGGCGGCGGGCAAGGGTGGACATGTCAAATCCGGGCTGCCCGAGCCCGAACCCGAACCCGAATTTCTTACTTGGACGGGCGGGAATTGGGCCGGCCCACCCGAGCCCAAAAAAATTTGGGCTTCGGGCGGCCCGCCGACCCGAAGTTCCAGCACTAAGCACTGCAAGTGTATTTAAAAAAAAAGTGAAGCATGAAACAGTCTTGCTGCACAAATGGCCGAAAAAAGAAGCATATTGATGTACGTATATATAGAGACACACTTACATATAAGTATAATTCTAATATTTCCAAGAAAAAAGTACAACTATGGTGCAATTAGAGAGTTTGAGACTTGAGTAGTATTTACTATGAACTCTCTTATTACGTTTTTGTTCTATTAGGCTAGGGACAATATGGAAGATTGATCTATTAAATAATTTCAAGGTTGCTATAATTTTTTTTTAAAAAAAAGGGAGAAAAGGTCACAAACCGCCCGTTAAACTACCAAACCGCCTACTCTCACCCGCCTCTATGGTATGTTTACCTACACGTAATCAGAATGAGCATGAATCGGAGTGGGTAGGATTCGGAGTGAGGAATCGGAGTTAGAATAAGTTATTTACTTAATGATAGGATTCGGAATCGGAGTCATTCCAAATCTCATTCATACGTTTACTTACACCCAAAATTGGAATGAAAAAGTGTAAAAGTACTAATATACCCTTTAAATCAATTTGATATATTCAATTTAAAAAATATAGTGTACTTATTATATTAAAATTAATCATAATTAAAATATTTTGTGTAATAATTGGGTACTAAAATAATAAATATAAATTGTACAACTATTTAAAATACAAAAATAAATTTTAAATAAAATAAATAAAAAAATAGTGTTAAAAAATAAAATATATTATTAATTTATTAAAAATAAAGTACATATTTACCATATTAAAGTTAACAATAATTATGCTAATATTATAATATTAGGCAAATAAAATAATAAATATATGTTGCATTTATTATTTTTTGAATTTTATTTTTAATTGTGTATTTATAAGTAAAATAAGGGTATAATAGTAAATTAATATTAATATTAAGAATGTGAGTCTCAATCTCAAGGGGGGCATGTGAGTGCCAATCTCATTCCTCAATCTAAAATTTGAGTGGGGCCCACCAATCTCACTTCCATTCCAGGATAAAAAAGAGTAAGTATCTTCAATCATGATAAATAATCATGCCATAAATAATACGATGGTACATAAAGGATAAGTCCTCCATTTCAAACTGGAGAACTGTAAACAAACCCAAAAATAAATAAAATAAAATTCGCTTAAGTCCCTAATGATACTTGATCTGGTCCTGTTGATCTAAAAAGGTGGACTTAAGGTTTTATTTTTCATTTTCTTTTGTAAAGTTGCTTGGGTCGGTTGAAATTGTAGTCTTGTTTTTTAGCAGAAGATGATTTGTTGTTTTAGGTGTTTTCTATGTGGTTGTTCAACTCACATTTCATAAATGATCTTTCAAACCCTTATTCGACCGATTAAACCTACTATTTTATTTAGAATTAATTATAAAATCTCTCATGAATTAACGACCCAGGTAACATTTTGTTCTCTAATAATTATAAACGTAACATCCATATTTTCTGGAAAATAAAATTGAAAAAAAAAATGCCCTTTCTATTAAGATTTTCAACGGAAGTGACAGGTGCCGCGCAAAGAAGAGTGATGACTTAACAACTTAGTGCATAATTGCTCTTTTATCCCACCCTCTCAATTTAACTCATTTCTTTTTAAATAATTTTCATTCAAAAAAAAAAAAAAAGAAAAAAGAAAACCCAGAAACCATTGCTCTTTCTTCTCCTTTCCCCTTTGTTGCAGTTCCCCTTCCCTGGCCTACACCGTGTGGTCATCGCCCCCAATCCGTTAACGTCGAGTGTTTCCACAACTGTGGACAAGATCTCCCTCCCGCCCCCACAGACGAAGGTAACCACACAAGATCATTCTTTCCCTCACCCTTTATGTCGTGCAACCAGTTACTTGATTATTGCTCAAATTTCCTCTTTTTTGGGATTAAATCTTTACAAAAACTAGTATAAATCTGCCGTAAGTCCCTTTTTTGTTGTTACTGTTGTAAGAAAAAGAAATCTATTTAAACGAATTTCTTTTAACATATAATAAAATTTTAGCGGCGGCCTAACTCGAATAGAAGACGGAAGTCAATAGTATCTAAAAAAACCTCACAAGAAAAAAATCTCCAAATTAAAAAGAAAACAACTCTAATATTTAATTCTCAAATAATTCAAGTCTCTTTAATACAATGACTAATGTGGCTATTTATAGTTAATACATCAAAACGATAACAAAATAACAATAAAGATAAACAATATGTTAATAACAAAATAGCTAAATTAGAAAATTAAAACAAATGACAATAAAATATAAATAAAACTACTTATATCTATAATTCCTTATATCATAAGCAAAGTATTAAAATTTTAAATTTAAATTTTAAATATGAGATTACTAAAATATCCCTAAACAGTGTACCGCATGTTGATGATATGCAAATTTATGTTAGAAATCCAAACAGAATGGGCGTTTTCGTTAGAGTTTTATTCTTCAGGAAATATGAATATTACGTTTTAAATATTAGGGGCAAAATATTAGGGTCATAGTTTGAAGAGAACTTTTGTAGTTAATTCTTTTATTTAAGAAAATTACTTCTAGTTAATCCTATTAAGAACTTGGGAAATGAAGTAAATATCATATTTATAATAAATAATTGAAGTAAAAATATATTTTAAAATTATTTAAAATAAATAGCAGTAAATTAAAAATTTACATGATAAAAAATCATTTTATCAATCGTAAATAGAAAATTTATATGATAAAAAATCTTTTTATTAGTCATAAATAAAAAATTTACACGGTGAATTTTACTGTTTACTACAATTTCTATAAGAGGTTTTGTGTGGCCCATGTATCATTTAATACATATTCCACATCATATGAGAAATTGTAATAAATAGAAGATTTTTAAAACTAAATTAAATAAATAACAAATTTTAAAACTATTTAAAATAAATATCAATTGAGGTGGTAAATGAATTATTTATATTGTAAATGATTTATTTACGGATAAAAATAACTTATGTGATAAAAATCTTTATTTACATAGAAAAAATTCTTTTTATCAGTCGTAAAAAGAAAATTTACGTGAAAAAAATGTTTCACTAGCCGTAAATGATTCATTTACTGCGTAAACTGCTATTTATTTTAAATAGTTTTAAAATATGCTATTTATTTAATTTAGTTTTAAAAATCTACTATTTACTACATTCTCTCTTCATATATGAGAAAATAAAAATACCACTAAAAGATGGTAAAAGAATATTATTTCTACCACTTTACTTAAAGATAAACAATTTCCATTCAATTAATAAAGAAAAAACTAAAAGCCATAATGACACTTAATTATTTAGAATGAAGTAAAAACACAAAATTATAACAAATCATGTACTTTTCTCTTCATTTATATTGGGAATTAAATCAACAAGTACTTACAACAGGAAAAAGAAAATGGCAAATAAATTAGCCCCATTAATAATTTATAACTCCAAAAAAAATCAATTATCAATATAAATCACTAGTCATATTTTTCCTTAATAAATCAACAAGTACTTACAACAGGAAAAAGAAAATGGCAAATAAATTAGCCCCATTAATAATTTATAACTCCAAAAAAAATCAATTATCAATATAAATCACTAGTCATATTTTTCCTTAATAAATCAACAAGTACTTACAACAGGAAAAAGAAAATGGCAAATAAATTAGCCCCATTAATAATTTATAACTCAAAAAGAAAAAAAAATCAATTATCAATATAAATTACTAGTCATATTTTTCCTTAATTTTTAAAATACAAACTCTCAAATAAACAACATTAAACTCGAAGCTGTATCATGAACACAGTTAACTATTTGATAATTTTCCCTAAAAAAAAAACAAAAAAACTATTTGATAATTTGCCTGACCCCATCATATGGACATCCCAGGGGCCTAAGATTACGAAGAAATATCTGGTATTTTTTTTTAATATATTGTTGATGAGGAAGACACCACCAATTTGACTAAATTCGACATGGGCCCACGATGTTTTCTCCTTAAAGACGACAAGGCTTGTCTAGATTGTTAGTTAATGACCATTAAACACAGTCTTCACCTGATTTTGCCAATATACAAATAGGTCACTGACGGCTTGAGCTTCACATAGAAATGAGAATGAAAAACCATGTGAAACCAATGAAAGATTCACATTTCAAAGTATCTAATGTCTTCTTTTCAAACATTCAAAAACCAGAAACTTCAGTTGATGAGAAAAAAAAAAAAGAATAGAATCTTTATTGTAATGATCTCAAATCCTAAAGTGAACTACGTAAATCTAAAAAATGAGGTATACAAAAGGAACACAATTTGGACATACGGACATTATTCGAGACAGTCGGATGGAACAAATAAAACCATGTACAGCTTTCTAAGCAAAACAGAACAGAAGAGGGTAAGAGGAAAGATACTAACACTGCCATTAGAGTAGTGGCATCTTTCTTGCCAGACTGTAATAGGACAATGCCAACGACAATCACGGGAAAAAATCGAACAGAAGCGATGATGGTGAGCAAATGTAAGTGAGTTCCGAATCAGGAGCAAATTGTCAGGCAAAGGCAAGCTTCTTGACTACTGCAGCCATGTACTTGCCCTGATGCTCTGCAAGAGCCAACTCGGTTTCAGTGGGTTCCCTAGTGCCATCACCAGCAAACACACCTGCACCATATGGAGAGCCCCCTCTTATGGAGTCCATCTTGAACATACCAGCTCCGAAAGTGTATCCGATGGGAACGAAAAGCATTCCATGGTGTGCTAGCTGGGTAATAGCGGTCCAACTGCAATAATTACAAGAATGTAAAACCTCAAAACAAATTGTTTAGGAAAGCAATACATAAAGTTTTCTCGGTGTTCACAGCTTAAAAAAGCCAGTAACTCTATCAGAATAAAGAATGTTAGTACTTCACCTGTTTTGGCACAAAAGGACCATGTAGTAGACAAATTCACTCTAAAAGTAACAGGAGACAGAAAATTAAAATTAGACGCACATCAACCCTGAAACAACAGCAAAAAATCAATTCTCTCCTCAAATAAATTTTGGAAAAAAAAATGCCATCCACAGTCCTTAATAGACATGGAAGTCTCAAGTGGAATTGAAATTTAACATAATCCACAGGATCAACTTCATCTGCTCTTAACAATTTAAAATTGAAATGTAATAGGTATCTTCTTTTATGTACTCCTTCCAAACCGAAGTATTGTGACACACAAACACCGACTTCTCATCTAGAAAAAATTTTGCAGTAACTTTAATACTTATACGCTAATTGACATTTTCTGTGATTTCTCATTGAAATATAACCAATAAGGTAGAAAAAAATAAGTGGGACAAATCCTAATGATTTACTTCGCTGGTAAGACTCTCCTCTCTAGAAGAGAGAGAAGTCAAAAATTTCTCCTATGAAGAGAAATGACCCAAGTTAAAAACTTAAAAAGATAAAGAAGATTTTAGGGCATGTTTGTTTGACCGTATAATAATATAACAATACAATGTTCGGTGTGACCATTGTATTGTATAACCTAATGCAGATGGTAAATTAATACGGTCTATATCGTATTATTGAATGCGGCTCATTTTTGGCGTATTGTATTGTATTATTTTATAGTGGATCAATGATTCTTGTCGGGATTGGGCACGACTAGAGGTCGGGGTCGGGTTGATATAGGGTTACACCAGAGCCTATAATTGTTGAAAAATTTAGGGGGCACGATGCAATTTTTATATTTATTAAAAATTACATTTTGACTCCAAAATATTTATAAATTTTCATTATGACCCTAAAACTTTTGAAAAATTGTATATTGACCCTAAATTTTTTTAAAAATTGCATTTTGACCATAAAATTATTAAAATTTTGCATTTTGATCCCTTATACAATACGTCATGACACCAAACACCGTATTGTATTATGATAATACAACACAATATAATACATCTTATACAATACAATATAATATAAGTTACCAAACATGGCCTTAAGGAACATGTAGAAACCATTAAAATCACAAACTAAGAGGGTGTTTGGTATGAGGATTCGTGCCATGGTTCGTGGCTGGCTATAGTATTTTCTCTCACAAAAAACACACGTAATTGAGAATGATTCTGAATTATGGTTCTGAATCCGTGAACCAAACGTCCACTAAAATGTAACCTATTAAAGGTCAGAGGTCACATTATTACTATTGGAAGAAGCATGACTCTAGTGGACGAAATAAGCTTGCAAATGTGCAGTAAGCTTGACATTTCTAATGAAGATCTGATGTTGTAACAATACACAACCACACTGACAAAGTCTTCCAGCAAAGCAAGCATGCAAAAGAGAGAAACTCGCATTGAATCTGAAATCTAGACCCTGGTGCTACACAACTAAAGAACAACTTATCAAGATTCCTGATGTAAAATATAACTGTTAGATTTCAATAGCAACAAATGTAGGGCATTCTGTCCATAAGATCAGAACCTCCACTTTGCCTATAATTTGCAGCCAAATTTACATTAAAAGAATAATTAACTTATATTAATGTAAGACTGTTCCACCACAGCCTCACGACTTTAACAACCTTAGTAAACTAATTTTCTATACCGTACATATACCAACACTCATACTCCGAAATAGTGAGCAAAGGAAATGATGTTAATTTGTGTTAATTGAAATCCTCCCTCCATAAAAGCATTCTGCAATTCCTCTGCTTCTAAATTCCCTTGTCCAAAGAATCATCTTGTATTGAACAAAGTCTCCAATGGGGCGCATTCTGATATTCAAACTACCCTCATTTTCTCAACGACAAAGCTAATCCTAGGTATTATCATTTTTGTCTTACCAGTTTGATTGCGTACTAATTACTATGAAACCTAAAACCTTAAGAATTCAGCTAATGCTCTTTGCTCTTGGTCTATACCATGCCTCAACTTTCTCTCCTGTTTCACACCCAACACATGCTTAGGTACAAATGGTATAGCTAAAATCTCCTCTCTGTCTCTCTCTCTCTCACACACACACACACAAAATCTGGGTCTTTATATTTCCTTTCAAGGAAATTTAAATCTTTGTTGAATCAAAAAATTAATCAAATTCACACCGGAACGTGGTATGTAAACATAGAAGTCCTGATCTTAATGCAACTACTTGTATCCTATTTGTCTTGTTCATTCAAATTCACAACAAAGACGATAAATCAAATACATTTAGCAGAAAGGCCAAAAGAATTCAGAACAATTTCAATCTTCCAATCCAAAATTCTACAGAAAAGAAAGAGCATTGGGACAATTTCATCCTATATACTTACGCAGTGGTTTCTTGGCCGCCACCTTGCGTGCCAGTACTGACGAAGAACCCAGCCGGTTTCCCGGCGAGCTTCTGCTCCTTCCACAGCTGCCCCGTCGAATCAAAAAACGCCTTCATCTGCGCCGCCATGGCCCCGTACCTCGTCGGAAACCCAAACAAGACGCCGTCGGCCGCCGCCAGCTCTGCCGCCGAAATCTCCGGAATCTCGGGGTCCTTCGGCGGCGCCTTCATCTGCTCCAACGCCTCCGTCGGCAACGTCTCCGGAACCCTAAACAAGACCGCCTCGACGCCGTCCACCGCGTCCACGCCCTTCTTCATCCGCCTCGCCAACCCTTCGACGTGTCCGTACATCGAGTAGAACACGATGAACACCTTCAGCTTCGCGATTGGGTGGGAATTCTCCTCCGCCGCCGCGGAATCTCTCGACAAGGCGTCGTTCGGCCTGTCGTCGGCAGGAATCGGCGCGTTCCCGGCGGCTCCGCCGCGCCGGGAATCCTCGGCCCCGCCGGAGGGAACCTTCTTCTTGCTTGGAACGCAACCACCGCCTTTCCCCATCAAAAAAAATAATAATCACAATTACGCAAACGAAAAAAAAATGAAAAATAAAAAATCGAATTTACAGTACGAGTTTTTCGCCTTTTTTTTAATTTTTGAATTTCAGTTTTGTAAATTCACTATATCGGAAGCGGAAACTTTTATAAGCTCCAAACTCCAGACTAGTTGTTACTTTCCGGGGAATTTATTTTATTGTACAGATATGAGCTCTGGAAGTGACACGTGGCGATTTATGCTTCGTCGGCTTAACATACGACGTCGTACAGGGGCTGTTTTCATCAGAGAATGATTGGATTTATTATGTGCCAAGGTGTTCTAGAGAATCGTCTCTTTCGGGAGAAAAAAAAGGATAAAATTGGAAGGCTTCCGTGATTGGTTGCCAGTCATGAGTCATCCACCAAACTCTCAATTTAAAAAATTACAAAAAAAAAAAGGAAGAAAAGTAAGTCCACCGTTTTGTTGATGTTGATATCTTGAAACCCAAAAAAAAAAAAAAAGTTATAAATTTGGGAAATTGTTGTTATTCTATGCACGAATGATAATTATTTTCTTCTAATTGGAGGGTTGTCCTTTATTTATTTATTTTGGTTTTATAGTCTTTGGATGTTTGACAAATGTCAAAAAAGAAATGCGCCTTTGAGTTTGAAGGAGAGTTATTAAAGCAATATATCAACATTCAATCATACAATTTGTACAGAGAATATTAAATTGAAGAAACATTTTTCTTTAGTGGGCGATAAATTATCAATATTCTAGTTGTCGTGACTCCAAATAGGAGTACCGAGTACAATAATTATGAGGATGAAATACATGTTTTTTCGGTAGAAAAGCACCAGCACTTCAAAAGAGAAAAAATAAAGTACAAAAAAAAAAAAAAAAAAGAAGGCAGAAGGCAGAAGGCACTGCCTGAATGGCTGTATTCGGCCTGGCCCATCTTATTCAAGATAACGTGCGTCATTAACCTGGCCTGTATAAGTTAGAGTTTCAGTAGATGGGCCAAGTTGGCCCACCAGCTTTTTAGTTGACGCCACCACGGCCTTGGTTTAGAGAGATTTTTACCATTACCCTTCAAAATGGATTACCAAACTATTATTAACCCCCAAACATTAACTTTTGTAATTCGTGGTTTAATTAGACAACATTTTTCTTCCAACATAGGAGTTGTTAAGAGTAAAATTCGGGAAAAAGAGCCGGTTGTACGGGAAATACTTCAGGACGTTATGCAAGGGCATCCCGTATTGCTGAATAGAGCGCCCACTCTGTATAGATTAGGCATACAGGCCTTCCAACCCATTTTAGTAGGACATGTTATTTATTTACATCCATTAGTTTGTAAGGAGCTCAATGCAGACTTTGATGGGAATCAAATGGCTGTTCATGTACCTTTTATCTTTAGAGGCTCAGGCAGAGGCTCGTTTACTTATATTTTCTCATGCAAATCCTATTGGAGATTCCATTTCCGTACCAACTCAAGATATGCTTCTCCGACTTTATCAATATTCTATTTGTCGTGACTCCAAATAGGAGTACCGATTACAATAATTATGAGGATGAAATACATGTTTTTTCGGTAGAAAAGCACCAGCACTTAAAAAGAAAAAAAGTAGAAAATAAAAAATAAAGAAGGCAGATGGAAGGCACGCCTGAATGGCTGTATTCCGCCTGGCCCATCTTATTCAAGAAAACGTGCGTCATTAACCTGGCCCGTATAAGATAGAGTTTCAGTAGATGGGCCAAGTAGGCCCACCAGCTTTTTAGTTGACGCCACGGCCTTGGTTTAGAGAGATTTTTACAATTACCCTCAAAATGGACAAACTATTATTAACCCCCCAAAATTAGCCTTTTTATTTTTACCCCTTTAAAGTAAGCCCAATCAAAGGCCTAATATATAGATTACTAAAACACTCTCAAAGGTATTTACAAGATGTTGGCCGTCTCCTGGCAGCCAACTTCGATCACTGGCAACCAACGGCAGGTCTCCGACAACCTGCAGCCGGTGCTCCGGTGGCAGTCCAGCATGTCTTCAGACCATGCTCCATGCTCCATAGTCTGTCAGGTTATGATCCATAATCTGACAGGTTATGCTGAGATGCGGGTCTCGGCGCGAGACGCCGACCATAGTCTGTCAGACTATGATCCAAGTTTGGCAAACAGTGATCCACAATCTTCCAGATTATGATCCATAATTTAGTAGACTATGATTCCTAGTACGTCAGACTATGATCCATTTCAACCTGTTTATGAATCATTTCAACCTGTTTAAATCAATTTCTAAGGCTAAAAAAGTATTGAAAAGCATACAAATAATTAGCCTAACTAAATATGCCGGCCAGGGGATCTCCGACACCGACCATAGTTTGTCAGACTTTGACATACTACGATCCATAATCTGTCATGTTATGTTTCTATTTTTACCAAAAACATGATTGAACGTCTCAGAATCTACAAAATTGATCCAAATAAAATAACAAAAATAAAACACAAAAAATTCCGACAAAATCACAACAAATCCATGTTACAAAAATTTCAAGCAACATATCACAACATCTCTAGAGCTCGGTGTACACTCGTGCAAAAACACTTAAGAGTGCCATGACCTAAAAACACTTAAGAGTGCCATGACCTGAAAACACACACACCCTGTTATCAGTGGGAATCACACAAAAAATGGTTAAAAAAGATAAAATAATCATTCTCTATAACTTCGTTTTCTCAGCAGCCAAAGAAAAGAAAAACCTTTCTTTCTTCTCCACGATTCTCAATCTAAACCTTTCTTTCTTCTCCACAATTCTAATTCCAATAGTCTTTCCCGGGAAGCTAACCACTACGAAACAGGATAATTCACATCCTTATGTCCCAAAATACAAACTCTTTTTTCTTATTTATTCAATCACATTGCGTAAACATAATCAAACTAAATTCAACCAAAAAATAATAATAATAATAATCCAAAAAACAACAAAATCAAAAACAAAATCCAAAATTCAAAATCTGAGAATTCATCAAACACATAAATTATCTCAAAAACTACAAAAATAATAAAACACAGAAATAAAAAAAATTTGATATTCATCATAACCACAAACTCGAATCCACAAATTCGGAACCAGCGAGTATGAAAACAAATAAAAATTCTTGCAACTGTACATAACCATTTAAGATACCAAACAGCAACAAATGAAAACAGCCAATATGTTGACTAGCCATTATCTCAAAAAAAACCAAGACAAAAACCTAAATACAATGACACGTAACGTTTAAACTAGTAATTAACTTTGTTAAATATCTAAAATCAAACTGAAGATCGAGAATGCAGATTTCTACAGGTAAGTCTAGATTCGTTCCCTAATGAAAAGACACGTAAATCGAGCCAAACGCCACATTATTGAATCAAACTCAGTGAGTTTGTGTGTGTGTGTATATATATATATATATATATATATATATATCAATGAAAAGACAAACCCGAATCTTCAAAAGGATCAATGCATACAAAAAATAGAAAACTAGAACCACGTCGCTAGAAACCTGAAATCATTTTCAGAAATCTGATAAAGCGAACTCCGTGACGGCAGAATCAACTTTGGCAAACTCAAAACTCGGGACGGCGACACTGATTATCAAAAAAAACAAAAACCGGTTATCAAAGAATCAAAACTCAGATTTAAAAGGGAAAAAAAAACAGATCAATCTCGAATACCGATGGGCTGGTGACGCAGCGCTGGTGATGGCGCGTCAAAGAGGCGCTGCGAGGCTGGTCTTTGACGACGTGAGAGATCAGAGATGTGGAGGAGAAGCGGATCTGCAGATGCTCCACAAGCGTGACCTCGCAATTTGACGGATCTCAGTGCCGTGATTCAGATCTGGAACTGACGAGAAGTTTCAGCGGGGAGATCCGGAGGCGCGAGGGCGCTGCTCCGTGGATTTGAAGATAGAGAAACGCTGTTGTAAGATCAAAACTCCACGAACAAGAAAGCCACAACGAGATCTTGGACTCTGTGAGATTCACGGAGACGCCTTTACAGATCGCGGCCGTGAGTTTCGCGACCGGAGGAAGTTGGAGGAGAGAGATGAGCGAGAGCAGATCCAGCGACGCAGAAAAGGAGGACGGCGACGGACTAAGAGAGAGAGACCAGAGAGAGAGAGCCAAGAGAGAGGGGATAAATCGGAGAGAGGAGATGAGAGAGAGAGTGGGTTAGCGCAAGAGAGAGGAGAAAATTTGATAAAAGAGACCGGAGCATATCAGAATTTGAGGAAATATATCACTTTTTTTTTATAACAAAAAAATGATGGCGTGTATCTTACGTGATAAAAAATAGGTCCTATTAGTTCCAAGTGTATGGTCATTTTTAAAAACTCTTTTCTCACAAAATCGACCGCTCGACCCTCTCTTCCCCCCGAAACTGACCACTCGACCTTCTCTCCTCCCGACTAAGCTCTCTCACGACCGACCACCGGATTTTCTCTCCGATCACCTCTCACCGACCGCTGGCTTTTCTCTCCGATCAGTCACCAACATCACGATCGACCATCACCGACCGCTGGCTTTCCTCTCATCTGTTTCTCTCTCTCTCGCCGAAGTTCTCTTACCGGCCGATCCACTCTCTCCGATCTCTCTCGTCTCGGCCGACCGACCACTCCTCCCCAAACACTGACCGTTCACCAAAAACTGACCTCCCTTCCCACTAAAACTGACCAAAAACTGACCCTGACCACTCACCAAATTCCCGACCACAAAAACCGACCACCTGCTCACTAAAATCCGACTAAAAACCGGCGACTTTTAGACTGAAATGGCATCACAAAACAACTCTTCTTCCTCAACTAAAACAGTCATTTCCCGAACACTTGTCGACGAGACAACGGAATCTGCTGAGGTAATATTCTTGTTTTACTTTTTCTTATATATTTTTGCAAGAACAAAAACTTAATATAAGCAACATTAGTCTGTTCATAGTCGGTTCTTAGTCGGTTTTGGTTCTGGTCTGTTCGCAGTCGGTTCTAGGTCAGTTTTAAGTCATTTCTGGTGGTCGGTTCTTAGTCGGTTCTTGTCGAGTATGGTCGGTTCTGGTCGATTTTGGTCGGTTCTAGGTAAAGTCGGTTCTAGGTCGGTTGGTGGTCAGTTCGGAGTCGGTTCTTGGTCGGTTCAGGTCATTTTTGGTCAGTTTTGGTCAGTTCTGTCTGTTTGGTGTGTTCCTGCCGTGATTTTAGGTCAGTTCGGTTGGTTCAGTCGATTTTTGTTTGGTTTCTTGGTCTATTATAGTCGATTCTATCGTTTTGGTTGGTTCTGACCGATGTGTTTTTTCTTCTTTTTCAGTATGACCTCCCAAAATACAACACAGGTGAACTTCCTGGGATCGGACATCTAAAGATGATCATGGATCCTATGCGGGAATATTTTTCAGTGAAAGTGACTATGAAGTCAAAGATCGAGGCTTTGGAGGTAATCAGGCAGAATCTAGACCCCGAAACGGAAATGCCAATTTTCAAGGAATCTGCCTTCGGACATTTTATTTTGATGTCTGAAAATATGATCTATTTTAGAATGTTGACACACTAGCTGCTTTTGAGGCAGATAGAAACAAAAAAGTGACATGAGTTGCGGTTCATGGTTAATGGAACCACAACTAGGTTTGGAATGAGGGAATTTGCATTAATTACTGGATTGAACTGCGGGGAAACTCCAGAGCCGGACGTGATCTTGAAAGCTTTGAAGAATAGAATATTATTGGAGCATTTTAAGTCCCACGTAGTACTTGTTGCTGATTTAAGAAAATTGCTCACAGGGAAGAAGATAAAAGGTAGCGATAAAACAAATATCGCTATCATTTATTTTTTAGCACAAGTATTATTATCCGGGGACGAGAAGAAGACCGTCCCACTGGATTGGCTGTCTTACGTTGGCGATTTAGAATTCTTCAACAGTTATCCATGGGGCAGGGTGTCTTTTGAATGCACTATGCGGGCTTTAAAGAACAACTTGAAAGAGAAATTCCATAAATGGATTCGAAAATGACGTAATAAGAGCATCAAGGAAACCTACTCAATATGCGGGTTTTCTTGGGCCTTCCAGGTATGTCATACAGTTATATGCATAATTTTTCATGGCCTTATAGTAAATAATACCATAATTGGTTTACTAGACTTAAAAAAATTGGTTTAACGCAGGTTTGGGCATTCGAAACATTTCCAACCATCGGCGCCACGTTTGCAAAGACGGTTGATGGACGTCTTCTCAGAATCCTTAAATGGGAGGCACGCCGGGTTTCATTGGTCGAGGTTAGACAGATAGACGACCTCATGCAAAGTGGCGAGGTAAGGGTTTAAATACAATATTTTTATAGGTGTAAATTTTACAAAATAGGCATATTTATTTTTTTTACAATATGTTTCCACCTAAATTATCATTGAATGTATGTTCTTTTAATATACAAGGAATGACCGTACCAATTCTTTATCCCACTGAAGAGGAAATGAATAGTATGTGCATGAGGTTGTATATGCCTTATGCCGACCAAGAAGATCCTGAGATTGACCAGCTTGCATCATTTTTAGACTCTGGTGCAAGAATGGTCCATGTCCAGCAACCGAAGCCTCCCCAAACAATTGGCTCGTCTCCAACTACTTCCCCAACAACAACTTTCCCAATAACAACAATAACAACAACAACAACAACAACAACAACAACAACAGCAACCGAGCAAGCAAGATGGTATGTCTATTGATTACATAGTTGACATACTCTATCACATGATGGTAGAGTACAATAGTAGACATTTTGAAGCCATCAACAAGAGGCTAGACTCGCTAGACCAATCTGTTAGAGAAATTAAGGACACTATAGCATGTCTAGCGAAACAACAATTACAGCCAAAGCCAGTGCCTGAGGAAGAACTTAAGCTACAGGTTCAGCCAGACCCTGAGGCAGAACTTGAGCCACAGGTTCAGCTTGAGCCTGAGGCAGAACTTGAGCCTCAGGTTCAGCCTGAGCCTAAGGAACAACATGAGCCACAGGTTCAGCCTGAGCCTGAGGAACAACATGAGCCACAGGTTCAGCCAAAGCCTGAGGATCAACTTGAGCAACAGGTTCATTTAGAGCCAGAGTCTGAATCAAATAATGAAAAGTGACTTAAGAGGCCCAGCAAGTATATTGAGTCGCGTTACACAGATCCCCTGCGTAACGTGAGGAAGAAGATGTGGACCTCTAACGATGTTGTCGAGGCCTTCAACAAGTGGTTCGCTGATTCTAGTATGGACTCTGAGCTGATTGAGTGCGATTTTGGATATTGGAGGAAGGACTTCTTCCAGATTATCTTGAAGCCAGGTGAATGGTTGTTCAATGATGTAAGTAATCACAACATATTTTCTAATTTTATAGTCTTATTTTTTATACCATTATCATTATACTGAATTTATTTTTTTATGACTTACAGTAAATTGACGAGGCATGGGGTCTTCTATCGATTAGAAGGTCAAGGGCACCCGAAGGGCAGTTCAATAACAATATTGTCATCCTAGATGATGTATTTTACCAAAAATTGAGAGCGCGATTCTTCACCAACAAAAAGAAATTGGCAACCTATACATTTGACAACGACCTAGATGAATATGTTTGTGGAACAAAGCGCATAATTGGCCAGAAATGGGATGGCGCGCAGGGCTTCACTATGCCTCTTAACATTGAGAGGAAGCATTGGGTTGCGCTTTATGTTGATTTAGCTGAATTCAACATAAAGGTGTATGACTCAGCTGTTAAAATGTACAGAGATCAATAGATGCAAAGACAAGTGGAGCCAATTGCTGTCATGATGCCCAAGTTCTTGAAGTACACAAGTTTATTCAACCATCTGGGCAATAAACTTGACTGTGCGTGTCCAATCGTTCGTCCCAAGTGGTTGGTCCACAACCTTAGATCAGGTGACTGCGGACTTTTCACATACAAATTTATCGAATACCTTGTCCGCAGAATCCCGTTAGAAGACCTCGCTGAAGAATAAGTAGAAGCTTACCGGTTGGAACTTGCGGTCAAAATTTGGAGCGAGTACAAGCTGAAGAGGCCCGTAAGTACTAGTATATGAAATGTTGGTTGTTTTGCTTGTTGTAAAATAGATACACAACATTATTGGTGTTGCAATATGTTTATTATTGGCATTGCAATGCATTTATAATTATCATATTCAACAGGTTATTTTGGCTCTGGGGAAGCTTATATTTATGAGGAAATGCTGCCCAAATTTTTACACAATAATGTATCTTTTTTTTTGGAAAACATCGAATCAGTCCCGAAGATGGCAAAACGCGCGTTTCATTGTAAAATCAGGTTTTA